TGACATTTCACCAGAAACAGAAGATAACGAAAAATACGGCCCGACTACAACGATGGCACATGCTGCAACGCCTATTTCTTATTACCAGCCACCATCACACTTTACAACAATTGATATGGAAGCATTCAATGCTCTGAAATTATGCTCTATATGTAGGAATCCCGAACACATGAAGATCAAATGTCTCAATCACTTAGGTCCACATATCAATTAAATGGGTTTTTTGCATTATTTCTTTTTTAATTAACAATACATATTTCTTAGTTTTCAATTTCTTTTGATTTCTTCATGTACCAAATCATGCATTCCAACCATTTCCAACACGATTTTTAACCCCATTAAAATATATCGTTTGTGGTTAAATTAGCCTTAACATAAATATAAATTGCAATACTATATCTTTAAACACATAAATTCTGAAATCAATCATATTTACAAGCCATAAATAACACTCCAATATGTGTATCAAACCATTTTTTTTCTTATTCCTTCACAAAATCATGATTTCTAACAATTTTCAACGTCATTTTTACCCCGCTGAAAATGTCTTATATATGATGATATTATAGTCACCTTAAAGATAAATTGCAACACTATGCGTTTATAATTAAAAAATTTAAAAATTTAGTTTCCCACCCGAAAATAGTTTTCGAACAAGGCTATGGACACTAAACGGGGTTAGGGAATTCGAAAGAACCTCGCGTTTTGCAGGTCGCGAGATCCCCTATAATCTCACAATATTTTGGATCATAAAGGCTACCTTGTACTTCGCAATTCGCAATGTCATTTTATCGTTGTAACATCCTCAATACCGGGTTAGTGACCAAAGTGTGAAACATTAAAATTCAATGACTAGTTAGTGACCAAAGTGTGAAACATTAAAATGTATTGTGTATGATGATTCAACAAATGAATGAGAAGGAAATGGGAAAAAGGGTCATTGAACAAAGGAAATAATAAAATAATAATTTGGGGTTATTTTATAACCATGTGAAACATGTGTTTTGGAAACAAAAGTTTCCAGAGATATTTCTATCTTTATCTTCTTCTTCTCTTCTTCATCTTCATCTTCATCTTCTTCTCTTCTTCATCTTCTTTTTCTTCTCCAACGTGAAACCCAAGCCCAAGGTAAGTTTGATTTATTTTGGTTAATCCTTCAAATTCAAGCATGGTTTTGATTCATGAAGCTTTATGAAACATGATGGAAGGAAAAATGAACTTAGAAACTCAAAGAGTTTTGAGTTATGAAGGATTAAAGATAAGAAGTGAATAAGTGAAATTTTGAATAAGGATGTATAAATGAATTTAGAAGTTGAATTTGACTTGTCATAGGTGTAGATAATAAGTTATAAGTGTTAGAAATAAGTTTCGATTACATGGAAAATTTGGTATGATTCTTAGCTTTAAGAATTTGAATGAAGTATCGGAGATAATAAGGTGTGGAAATGATAGAAGTTAGTTAAAATGGTTGTAGTTGAGTTTGGTGGTATGAAAGGAGTTTTATATGAGGAAATTCAGTGAAGAGTTGATGAATTTTCGGGTAAAAAAACCTATTTTAGGCAGAGTGCATCGGTGCCCTATGTATGTGTACCGATACCCTATTGAATGAAAAATAACAGAATACAGTAAGGGTACCGATACCTCAAGGGGTGTATCGATACCCCCTAAAGGAAAAATTGAATATTGATTCATTAAATTTGTTTAAGTTATTAGCATCGAAGTATAAGGTTTAGGGTTATGATAATCATCTTGAAAATTATATTTCTGTAGATACAGAGCCTAAACGAGTTCCGGAACAATTGACAAGTAAGATTGATCAAGGAAAAGGCAAGGAAATATAGGTGAGTGCATATGCATAGCATGATTATAGAAATATATTCAGCTCTAGACTTGTGATAAGTCTAGATTTAATACTTTGATATATGATTCATTTCATATTATGAAACATGTTATGAGTTCATACCATATGCATTATGTGACATGAATATGCAGGAAAAATTATATGAGCTACGTGATAAAGGTATGTAAATTATATGTCTACGAGATACACTATGTGAATTATGAAAACCCATGTTATGTAGATGAGAACTATATGTATAGTTGGCATGCCAAGAGTAGAGGGTTTATGCGGTCCTTCGGGACAATTCTACGTGGTCTTTCGGGACATATATGTATTCTTTGGAACATGTATTAGGTCTTTTGAGACACCTACTTGATCCTTGGTATATGTATATGATTCTTAAGGAATTTCTATGTGGTCTTTATGGACAATCTTATATGGCACTACGGTGCATTTCTACGCGGTCCTTCGAGACAAATTCCACGTGGTACTTCGGTACAAATTTATACGAGCTGTGGTGACAGCATAGTGCACAACCTCATAGTACTCACATACCTCAGGTTCTCAGTATTATATCATGGGCCAGTGAACTTATTATATGAATTCATGATGATTAATTTGATAAGATTACAGGTAAGATACATGGTTACATTACTTGCATAGATTGAATATATGATTTCATGATATTGCATTTCATTATGACATTTTCATTATATTTTATTATCATTATTATTATGCCTCACTAAGTCTATGACTTAGCGTGTAAGTGTTTTACACATAGGTACCGAAAAGCAAAGAGATCCATTATAAGCTTAGCATAACAACATATCTCCACTTGAAGATCAGATCAGATCAGAAGTAAATTAAAAAGTATGTATTATTATGTGATAAATAGGTTGGCAAGTAAACAAAGTCTTTAAATTAAGTATGTGTGCTTTGTTCAAGTTTTGGAATGTTTTAAACGTATTTATATAAATGATAATTGTATAGTGATGAACGGTTTAAATTTTAATAGTTTATGTATGTTTTATGGAAGTACTGTAGCATGGTATCGATATCCCTCCAGCATTCTGGAAAATTTTAGCATTTAATACTGTTCATAAATACATTTTTACCTTAAAATTTTATAACGAATATAATTTAATGGTATTTTATTGTATTTTCTTATTATAAGTTCAAATGTTTTGATATTTTGTAAGTATATTGTTTTAAAAAGTCAATGTGACATCTCGGACTCGTATCCGGGTCGGGTACGGGTTGGGGGTGTTATAATCGCAATTCGGGTGGCCCTAGAATCAGGTTCTGACTTAAATTTGTGTTCGAGTCGCCACCGATCATTTTAAATTATGTTGATCAGACACATTAACTTACCATTTATATGATATACGATTTACTAGAAATTAATCGAATTCAGGAGTCAATTACAGTCAAGGAAGGATTAGCACTCTTGCACTGCCCTTTCGGTACCAATTTAATTTCCTGGTTGTCTTAATTGTGAAAATTTAAAGTTTAAATAAAGTTTAAGATCGATAAGAGTTTTTACCTTTGACGATTAATCGAAAATTTAATGGGCTCCTCAAAATAAATTCAATGCTAGGATAAAAGCAATAAAATAAAATAAGAAAGGAAACAAAATTAAATGTTGCAAGATAAAAAAATGGTTAATGTAACAAAATAAAATGAGGATTAAATTGAATAAAATTAAAATTCAGGGGTAAAATTACACGTGGTGACTAAAGTGCATTACACTTTAAATTAAGGGGGAGTGTGGAAATAATTTAACTATTTCGTATTTACACAAAAATCCCTAGTATATAAATACCCAAAAACCCATTTTCAAGCTCATTTGAAAACATTTTCACCAAAGCTCTCACCCTAAATTATCTTAAGCACTCTCTCCACCGGTCAAAGTTTCTTCATCGAACCACCATTGTTGCCACCGCCCACGGTGGTCAGAGACCCTAAAAATTAACCAAAATATTTCTCCCAAGGTCCCAAACCTAAATCAAGGCCCAAACACCCCGCTGTCGTAGATCTAAACGAGAAGTTTCGATATTTTACCTTTTCCCGATGAGTTCCTTCGACTTCTGACGGCCGTTCCTTTCCTAAACCGAGACCGAAACTGCTCTTTTATGCCTTGTGATTTTTCGCGATTTTTTGCGAGATATTCACTTGGAGTTTTGATTGATGTTTTCGATTTTTCTTGTTTAGTTACTTTCGGTTTTTCTTTGGAGAATAATGCTTTTTTCTGTGGTTTATGTTGTGTTGTTCGATGGATTTTTTCCTCTCCTCTTCGATTTATTGGCGTGGTATTTATATAGCCCCCGACAGGGTTATTTCCGATCATAATAAGGTTGTTTCTCTCGTCCTCGTTTTACTCGGGTCGATTTGTTGTTCGTGTTGACTAGAAATCACGGGGGAAATATCTTGTTCCAGTTTCTTGGTCGGTCCTCGAACCATGCTATCGCATGGCCTCCACGCACGCTGCAACCAGTCGCTTTATCTCCCTCGTACGGTGCATATGCCATTTTAGAGTTTATAAAACCCTAACCCTCTATTAGGTCAGACATATAGACTAAGGCTTACTGGGCTGGGTCAGACCCTCCCCTAACCGGGCTCCCTCATACCGTTGCTTACCTTGGATTTAATGGAACTCGTATTTGGACCTTATTGGACCTGGACTTAGACCTTGTTGAACCTATAAATTAAACAATATTAAAATTATATAATATATATATATAATATATATATAATATATAATATATAATATATAATATGTAACATATAATATATAATACTATTATAATATATTATATAATATATTATAATATATATTATCCTGTATGAAAATAAGTGTCTATAATTAACTTACCGTATACACGCATCAAAGTATCTCGCGTGTTGAAAGGTATAGGAATTTAACACACATTTTGCAGGTGATGAGATCATTCGATGTGGACGATTTAAGAGTTTTTTTTCTTCAAATAATCTTTGAAAAACCTTATTTCTTTTAATAATTATTTATTTAGGGTTTTTAAAATAAATTTACCCCGAAATTAGTAGCCGAAATTGTCTGTATATATGGAGATTGGATGCATTGTAATCGTCATCACTCTATAAATCTTAAACCCGAAATTTCATTTTCTGTCCGCTGCTCTTCCATTTTCTTTTTCCTTTTATCTAATTTCTTTCCTTCCTCTTTCTTTTTTTTTGAAGAAAACATTGAAACTCTTTTTATAGAAGATGTGTGGGGGTGCAATCATTTCCGATTTCATCGCCGTGAAGCGTGGCTGGAAGTTAACCGCCCGGGATCTTTGGTCTGAACTCGACACATTCTCCGACCTGTTGGGTCTAAATTGCAGCAATGGAAAAGACTCCTTCAATCAACTCGATAACAACAAGGTCGGTTCCAAAGGCAAACAACTCGACAAAGGTGCGATTTTTGCTTTCTGGCTTTCTTCAAATTCTGGGATTTTATTATTTTTTCAGAAACCCCTGTTTTTCCATTTGTTTCTTGCATGCCTTTTATGGTTTTAAAATCTTATACTGTGGTTTCATGTAAGAGAAAATGTTGAAGTTTTGATTTTTCAGTTTAAAGAATTACGGTATAAAGTAAGAGAGAAGACAAGTTTAAAGACACAATCTTTACTGTTGTTTTTAATGGGGGTGATTTTCAGTGACGAACGAGGTGACTCAGAAGACAAAGCGAGGCAAAGAGAAAGAGGGGAAGACTGAGCGAACTCGGAAGAACATCTACAGAGGAATCAGACAAAGACCATGGGGGAAATGGGCAGCTGAGATAAGAGATCCTCGAAAAGGCGTCCGAGTCTGGCTCGGTACCTATAACACAGCCGAAGAAGCTGCTCGAGCCTACGATGAAGCCGCTAAGCGCATTCGAGGGGACAAAGCCAAGCTCAACTTCCCTCATCAAAATCAGCCTCCAGCTAAGAAACGCTGTATCATGGCTCCTGAGTTAACTCAACCCAGTTCAGAACCCTTTATGGGTTTTGACTATGGGAATGAAGTTTATGGAGCGAGTGAAATGATGGAGAGCGATTTGGAGCTGAAAGAGCAAATCTCGAACCTGGAATCGTTCCTGGGTTTGGAGCCTGATGAGACATCGATTGAGTTGAGTGGGAACGTTGAGCCTGAGTCGGTTAACCTTTGGATGCTTGATGACCTCGTGACACATCATCAGGAACAGCCTCAGCTCTTTTATTAGAGGGAAAAAAAAGCTACCCATAAGTAGCCGTAGTAATCTTTTATGTGTTAAGTAGGGGTTTGGAAGACTTTGATTATTATGCTTAAGACTTTAATGTTCGTATCAATGCGTGGTAAATATTTGTGACAATAAAGGTTTTGGCTCTCGAATTTTTCTATTAGCCCGATTATAATATAATATTTATTAGAAATTATTTTAATTATTCGATAATAAATGTTTAAAAACTTTTATATATATCATATTTGAAGCCAGAGCCTTTAGAATTAACAATAATTCTTATTCTTAAAAATTGTTTGATTCAAACAACTCTTTTATTTTAACTTTTAATAGTTAAACTTTTGTTTATTATATAACAATATAAGCATATAAATGGATTTGAATATGAGAAATACAAAATATATACTTGAATTTATTAAGTAATTTCAATAATAAAATTGAATTCATTAATAGTAAAAATGAATTTATTAAGTGATTTTAATAGTAAAAAAATATTGATTTATATTGGATTCGAATAATGACGTTTGTAAAATGTGTGCCTAACAATATATTAAGAAAGTTCTGAAGATATATTATTTTATAATTACTTCAGACTATTCTAAAAAAATATATAGATAATTTTAATTGTTGTTAAATGTTAATTTATATTTAATTAATTAAATCATTTATGGTGTTTTTAACACAACATATTATTATATAACATAAGCTTAGATTGACCAACAACCAGTTGGTCTAGGAGATCATGTATTCTATCCCTTAAGTAATGCTAGGAGTTCGAATCCTGTTGACTGCGAATGAAACAAATTAGATTAGAAAGATCGCCTCTGCCTCTATAGTTTAGATTGTTTTCTTTTTTGAAAAGGGAATAAAACCAAGAGATAAATTTGTTTCGAGAACATTGAAATGCCCGTTTTGTTGGTTCATGTATTGTGTGTGTATAGACGCCATAGTAGTTACTGTTCAAACCTGAAACCTCTAAGGATAAAAATTATCCTTTTAATCATTAAAATAATTTGGTTCGTGTTTATTTACCATATATCTTTATTAGTAATTATTTTTATTTCAACATGAACCAAACTATCTCAATGGTTAAAGATGTAATTATTATCTTTAGAGGATTCGAGTTCGCGCATATCGTATGTCAGAGATGTTTGAATGTTCATTGTCAGAGTCTTTCAAACATATGTGACATTGTAATCACCTTTAGATTAATAAATAACTTGTTCCAACCTTCTCTAATGTTATATTAACTAAGATTACGGAATAAGGGTGTTGGATTTCTAATTAACTGTTAAAATAAAATTTTACCTTTTGTTGATAAAATAAATTTTATTTGTGGAACATTTTATATTAATAATATTTACTATTTTAATTAAAAAAGAAAATATAATAAAATTACAAGAAGAGTATAAAAACATATTTTGTTATTTTTTTTAAATTATTAAAGTGCACAGATTAACAACAAGTAGAAAGAAGATTTAATAATTTAATTAAATAATTCGAGAAAAAATATATACAAATAAATATTATTATCAAAAAAATAAATACTATCGATACTAATATAGAATAATAATAATAATAATAATAATAATAATACATTAATAAACTGACTTTATGATAATTCAATTATAACCTTTTATTGATGGTCGCAAACATCTATTATTATAAAATAACTAACCCATGATCCGAATAGCAAGATAAACAATTAAGCATCAACTGTAGGGAGAAAAAAAAATCTAAAAGGGTAACATGTTATAAGAATAGAAAAACGTGGGCTTCATTTGACATTTATTTTGGGATATAGACCAATTATTATAGTTATAGGATACGTGAAATTTATCACGAAGGATAACGAATTTCATAAAATATATTAAAAATTAAAGCTCGTCACTTTTAATGATGATAACGACTTGAGTCAACATTAGAAATTATGGTTTTGTTCAAGCTGCGTTGTAAATATTCATTTATATTTTATTATTTATTTGACTTTTAATTAAGAAGTTTCGTTTTTGTAAATTGTTATATTTTGAATTTCAAGTAAATGATTTAAGAATGGTTAATCACTTTGATTTTGTTTGACATTCAGATCCTCAGAATTTGTGTGTTACATGAAATATATAGTATAGAGTGATAGAAAATCGTTAAAATTAACATCAAATAATATCATAACATTATACATATTAACAATTAAATTTAAAAAGAGACTCGAATAATTTGACTTGACTAAAAAAATTTCAAATAAATTTTGATTTATAAAATAGATCTCATCAATTCTAATGACTCAAATTGGTTTACTCGATTCAACTCAATCGAATGCTCGTCCCTAACTTTGAGTGACTATTTAAGTAATTTATCCTTCTATTTTGGGTAGATTTTAGAAAAGCCCATATCCTAGTCCATCGGAAGTAAACTGTACCAACCCATTTGATTATTTCAACACCCAAAACCCTAACATCTTTGACCTTTCTTATAGAAACCGCCCACCTTTTCTTCTCAAAAACCCTCGATTTTTCCATTTATAGTGACACAAGAAGCCGGGAGAGACAAAAAGGAAACGCACCGATGGTTTCTTTGAAGCTCCAGAAGCGGCTTGCCGCTAGCGTTCTCAAGTGCGGTCGAGGCAAGGTCTGGCTCGATCCTAATGAAATCAACGAAATCTCCATGGCCAACTCCAGTAAGTAGCTTTTTACGTATTTAATTCATTTCGAATAATAAAATTCAATTCTGTTAATTAGATATGGTTTAGCTGAGTTATCCTTGAAGTTATTGTTTCTCTTTGATCGCTTAGTGTTTGCTAGATTTTTCGGAAAATTTTAAAATGGAAATGATAAGACTTTAGCTCTGAAGCTATACTTATAAGACTTTAGCTCTGAAACTATACTTATTCTTGGTTAGGAGCTCTGCATGACTTTCTTTGCCTCGCTATTGATGTTGAATTTTGGAGTTTAGTCCATTGTTTGTTACACTTTTGTTATGTTATATGTAAATCAAGATGTAGGTTTCTGTTTAGGTTACTATTCGTTTGTTAATAATTTGATCATTGTTTGCAGGGCAGAACGTTAGGAAACTGGTGAAGGATGGCTTTATCATTAGGAAGCCCACCAAGATTCACTCGCTATCGTGCACAGAGAATGAAGGAAGCCAAGAGGAAGGGCAGACACTCGGGATATGGTAAAGATTGATATGCTATTTCAGTAGCCTATATTTACCCTGTTGGATTTATGGTAGGGTTTCTTTGTTCCTTGAGGTTCATTATAAGCAACGAATAATGTCTTCTAAATACTTTCAGGTAAGAGGAAGGGTACCAGGGAGGCAAGGTTGCCAACAAAGATCCTTTGGATGAGGAGAATGCGTGTATTGAGGCGTTTGCTTTGTAAGTACAGGGAATCTAAGAAGATTGATAAGCACATATACCATGACATGTATATGAAGGTTAAGGGTAATGTGTTCAAGAACAAGCGTGTCTTGATGGAAAGTATCCACAAGTCCAAGGCTGAAAAGGCGAGAGAAAAGACACTTGCTGACCAGTTTGAGGACAAGCGTGCTAAGAACAAGGCCAGCAGGGACAGAAAACTGGCCAGAAGAGAGGAGCACCTTGCACAGGTGATTACCTTTAAGCTTTGAATGTTTGAAGTTTGATGTTGTATTTGTCTGTTTTTGCTTTTCCTGTTTTGCAATGAATGCATGCAAATTTTCTATGTTGTGTGAAAAAATAGCTTTATGATAAAGCATTAGAAAGCATTCATATTGGAACATAGCAGCTTTGAGCCTTTGACAAACCAAGCTTATATTTTGGTGTCAATTGCTGCATCACCAAAATACTGCATGATTCTCATACCATGTCTAGAAGATTGATTTGACTCTATTTCTCAAGGTTGTAAAAACCAGAGCACAGGCCAGTCTAATAGCATGTCTAAAACGTTGTTAAAACCAGAATGGACATGCAAGTTAAACCTAACTGTGAACCAGTTGGTCTGGTGGTTCAGTTATATATGTTGATGCAAAAAAAATTAGAGAACAAGCCAGAACCGTTAGAAAATCATTAGATTTTGTAAATATTTTTCTTAGTTTTTATTTTTATTTTTTATGATATATATATATATATATTTTATGACTGAATCTTATGTGTCAACCAGTTTAACTTGGAACTGAAGGTTCAACCTGTTTGACTTTTTGGTTTGGTTTTTGCAACCATGCTTTTTTGCATTATTTATCAGTTGCTTCTGCTTAGTTATTTGCAATTTAATAATGGGATTCTTGATGATACAGGGACCTGGCATGAAGGCAGCACCTTCATCGGCACCTCAACAGGCCGAGTAAGATGCACAATAATGTTGTTGTATTGATGTTTATGCTATCTGAATTTTGAACTTTTTTTATAGTACCCATGTTGAACGCTTGTACAAAACATTTAATTCACTTAAAGTTAGAAACATGGATTATAAAGCATCTGTTTTAACAGTACTAACTTGGATATGTTTTTGACTACTATTACAAGGGAGTGAAGAAGAAGTGAAAGAAATAAGGAAGATGGCTAAACTTGGTATGTTACTAGTGCATTTTGTTTTCTTTATAGGAGTTTGTGTGCAAAACTCTGTTTTCATGTATTATGTTAACTATAAATCAGGGGATTTTGGAGCCATTATATTAATTAAATATGCTTATGGTATTAAGAGTATTAGTCAATTATTAACCATTTGCTGTGCTTTACAAATGTTGCTTTCAACATAAGCCAGTAAAAATTATCTATTTATAAGGCTTGGCTTGAATTCTTCGAAATCGTGTTTGACATTTCCAACGCCCCAGGAATGGGTGATAAATTAATTGTATTAATTTCAAGGGTAAAATATTTATTTGGTCACTCGTTTGACGGATATTCCACAACAGATCAGTCTTTCTTTGGCTGGTGTAGAAGAAAAGAATTTTAACGAATGTAGAACGTGTCCGCGACAGATGATGAATGAGAGCCTATGACGTATATGAAAAAATGGTGATGCAGATGTGGT